GAGCTGTGTGTGTGTGTACCATCCAAGATGGCTTCCATAGATTCAGCCAATCAAATTTCCCCTGAGCACTATCATTTTCAATTATGCCCTCAATTTACACAGAAAGTTCAGTACAGCTAGTTACCCGTATTTTGAAACTCGAGCGTTGCGGTGTATGGGTGTAATGTACACGATTTTAATTCTTTTTAATATTTGAATAAGATGCTCTACTTGGCCTTTTTGGCTACGACAGTTTAATAATTTGTCATTATCAATACTAATTATCATTAATGAAATAATATTCAGTCAGAGGGCTTATTTATGGTAATAATATGTATACTAAGCCTGAGGGTGGCGCTTTCCTACGGCAGCCATCTTGGATGGTACACATACACAACTCTGCATTGCTCCGCCATCTTGTCAGCACTCTAGTTGTTTAATAGCTCTATGAGGTAAACATAGAAAGAGCAATAATAGTAAAACTCGAGCGTCACGACATTGCGAAGTGTCTGCTCTTGTTCCTCGTATCGTACTCACTCGAGTCAATCCGAGATGGCCCGAGTGAAGTTTCATACAAATGTTTCGTACGGAAAAAAAAATCGCCCACTGGGCAGGTCTTTTCAGGAACGGGCCGCGGTGTTGTCTATCTTTACTTTAGCCGCAGTTAGCGAGCTGCTTATTTTTAGCGACATTAAACAACAAAGTAACTTACAAGAATGGGCTTTGTGTTTTAATTTATGGTGACCAATATCAGTTTTAAGCAATTTTAAGAGTTTCAAGTCGGCAGAATTCGGAGACAATTCCTTTATTTTTTGAGCATTTGTTAAATTTATCGACCTAGGCAAGGCCTGCTAGTCCGACTTACCCAATCCTCAGACCCTGGGACATCACCCGGGGAAATTCGTGTACGCGAAGTTGGACGTAAAGTCGGTGTGGGATTCTACCCGGGGAACTATGGTAATATGTTATAGCAGTAGTGACTGAGAAAGTTTTCTCTATTGTTGAAAAAACAAAACCAAGCTTCGAGCTAGCATGACAACAAAAACTTAAAGTGGGGGTGCGGGATGAGACAAGTGGCCATATATTGCTTATTTAACCTTCCTGAGTTCGGGAAAAATACTTAGAAAATGTTAAGACGTAACGATAACCAACTCATTAATATTCAAGGCAAGTCTGTCAATTAATTTTTGGCGAGCAGCTGATCGAAAAATCGTCCCGACGATCGAGCGACTATAGCCTAGTCAATACTCAGTATTAGTGTGAAGCGTGAGTTTTGTGATCGTTGTGACGGTTTAGTCAACGTCAATTCAATCATGGAGGAATAATTCAATTGAATTAATAAACGTATATCAGTCCGATGACTTGTTTGTTTATAGAGGCCTATGCCTAGGACACAGTCAGTGTCAGATCTACCCAGCAGCAGTAGCGCACTCCTGTCCGGGACGCGATTTTTTTTTTCCGTACGAAACATTTTGCATGAAACTTCACTCGGGCCATCGGATTGACTCGACTAAGTTCGATACGAGGAACAGGAACAGACACTTCGCAATGTCTTGACGCTCGAGTTTTACTATCATTGCTCTTTCTATGTTTACCTCGGTAGGCCTATGATATCTTACGCATCTTAAGGCCAACTCAGACAGCGTCGGCCGACGCAGCCCGATGCGATTTGTTGTCGCGTCGGGTCTGTGTGAGTTGAACGCAGACGCGATGGTGTGCGTCGGGGGCAGTCGCGTAGTAGAATATTAAACATGTTTAATATTTCTCACGACGGCTTAAGACTGTCCCCGAC